ATCAAACATTTTCTGGAAAGGACCAGATGATAAATATTTTCAACTTTGTGGACCATTGTTCTCTTTCAGAAGTACTCAACTTTGTAACAACTACACAACCCTGCCCTCGTAGGGCAAAAGCAGCCATAAAGAATACATAAACAAATGGACATGACTGTGCTCCAATAAAACTTTATTTACAAAAATAGGTGACTGGTTGAATTTGGCCTGTGGACTGTCAACCCCTGTTCTAGAGCAGGGTTTCTCATCCTCAACACTATTGACATTTTGGGCCAGGTAATTGTTTCTTGTAGGGGCTGTCCTGTGCATTGTAGGATGTTTAGCAGTATGCTTGACCTCTCCCCACTAGATACTACCAGTAGCTTTACCCCTGTTAAACCTGTTGCCATCGAGTCAATTCCAACTCATAATGACCCTATAAGACAGAGTAGAACTGCTCCATAGGATTTCCAAAGCAGTAATATTCATGGAAGCAGACTGCCACATCTTTCTCCCGTGGAGCAACCGGTGAGCAGCCAAGTGCTTAACCACTGCACCATCAGGGCTGCTGAACTTTCCCCAGCCCCCTATTTTGGACAGTCAGTACTCCAGACACAGGCCTAGGTAGGGCTTGAAGGTAATAGTGACCCCTGGGTCAGTCCTGTGTGCACACATCCTTCAACACAGGGTCACCTTGAGTTGTCATTAACCAGCCAGTCTACCATATACATGCAGAATGCTTCAGAGAGTGAGAGGATCCAGGAGTCGGTGCTCCCACCTCCTACTACAGGGCGACCTCAGCAGGATTCCAGCTGGGGATGGTATGGCTCAGCCTTCACTGTGCCTATCATTCTATTGATAAACAGTGATCCCCTAATACTTGATCCCCAGCAGATAATAGGAGGCCCTACTGAATATGTGAAAAGTATATTCAGCAATTGTTCCCTGCAAGCTTAATATAAGAGTTCAAGTAACTCCTTTTTGTTTAACCCTGTTTCTTTATACAATTGAGGAAAGGTACTTCAGGAAAAGGTACACTGAATGAAGAATATTGTTCATTTAGCGGGTACAGGTTTCAGCCAAGTTTATCAGCGAGCAAATAGGTATGAGGCATGAAAATTCTAATCATAAACTTAAAAGGCCAAAAAAGAAATAGCCTTTGGTGAATGAGTCAAAGGCAGATGATAAGAGAATTTAAGCAGATAGGAATAGGACATCCCGTGCTAGTTAATACCAACTTTCAGAAAGGAATCCGTGTCAATTTAGTTCACTTTAGTCAAAGAAGATAAGGCCAGGCAAGGCCACTAAGCTGAGTAGCTGCAAATTAGGTTTGGAAAAATCAGCCCAGGCCTCTCCTTTCTACTGCCTCTGCTTTGGGCCAAGCCTTTATCTCACATTTGGAGTATTGCAACAGCCTCCTAAAAGAGTGAATGTTTGCATGATTGTTATTTCCATGCATGATAGAATTTCCTGTCTTAAAACTGTCTTAACACTCTATGGGGATGGAAGGTGGGATGTTAACCTTCATTATAATATTGAATGTGTACATGTGTCTAGACATAAATGTATGTAAATTTAATGTTTAGGTTTAAATCCACGGAGTCTGAAGAGCTTTTATACATCTGAAACAAAAATTCCGTTTTTTATATGTTTATTATAAATGAATAATCTAGCAGGCTAGGAATTCATTTGGCTTTGGAAATTTTTATATTTTTCCATTTAATATTTTAGCTATCCATTTTTTCTAAGCTACCTAGTGTGGCACATTCTATGCAGAGAACAGAATTGGGTGATTTAGACACCTGACCATATGGGGAAAAAGTGTGGATTTTTGAGATATTGAAGAAGAGTGGCTCCGAAAGTCTAGACTCTGGAAGGAAATGGAATGTGGTCTATGTTTGGCATTAGAATAAGACTCAGAATTGTCTGCCTTTCAAATTCGTCTTGGCATAGTGGATAAAAACAGTCTTGGAAGTTAGAAGATGTGAATTCTAGTCTGGACTCTTCTGATATCTAGCTGGGTGGCCATCATCAAACTACTTCACTGTCATGATCTCAGCTTTCTACGTTGTTAGCTGCCATCAGGTCAGCTCCGACTCATGGTGACCCCATGTACAACAGAACAAAATGTTGCCCAGTCGTGTGTTATCTTCCTGATCATTGGTATGCTTGAGTCCATTGTTGCAGCCACTGTGTATTTTGAGTGGCTTCCAACCTAGGGAGCTCATCTTGTAGCAGTATATTGGACAATATTCTGTTGTGATCCATAGGGTTTTTATTGGCTAATTTTCAGAAGTAGATCACCAGGCCTTTCTTCCTAATCTTAGTCTGGAAGCTCTGCTGAAATCTGTCCCCCATGGGTGACCCTGCTGGTATTTGAAATACCAGTGGCATAGATTCCAGCATCATAGCAACACACAAGCCACCACAGTATGACAAACTGGCAGGTGGGTGGTGGCAGTTTTCTATAGAGGGAGGATAATATCTAATGCAAGAGGGTTGCTATGAGGATCAGATGTGATGTATGTTACCTACCCTGTCTAAACCTCGTTCTAACAAATGAAGGGATTTGGAAGAGATTATCTCTGGGCCATGATTTTGTGAGATCTTATTTGTATCTTTATGTCAATATTTTCCACAATGTGGTTCACAAGGTTTTAAGTATGCATAAGTACTTTTCTAATTTTAATAATTACGGCATCCAAGGCAGAGTAGAAGTGAGGACCAACACTGGTCAGGGTGTGTGCCTGAGGCCTAATATCTTGGCCTCAGCTTGACCTTATACATACCACAGCTGCCTGTCCTTACTCTACCCCACAACCTTCCATAATTACCAAACTACTAAGATTAAAGCAGGGCAATGAAAGGTTAATTTTATGGTAACCATTTGGGGGCTCTCAAGTATAGGAAGAAGAGGCAATAAGAGTTTAATTTCATGCCCACACAGCTCCTATTAGGACTCAAACATGTAGACTCATATAGCATGTGAGCTTCTGAAGGAATCCTAAAGCAGAGCCCTCAACTGGGGGCAGAGAGCCATGTCCAGGTATTGTGCCAGCCTCTGGCCACGAAGGTCCACTGTAGCATAAGAATGGAACAAACAGTAGCCTTAAACCGAGTGGCCAATTTTTTGAACTCAGGGGCTGTCTAGTGACAAGTTGGCGACTGTGTAGACAGTCCCGCAGAAAATTTAGCAGAAGTGGCAGCATGCACAGTAAGCAACAGTGAAATGAGATGACATAGTTAGGAGAGCCCTGTGCATTTATTAGTTACCTTCTGTTAGGGATTGAATTGTGTCCCCCAAAAAGATATGTTGAAGACTAAACCTGATACCTGTGATGTGAACTTGTTTGAAAATAGGGTCTTTGAAGATGTTATCAGAGGGCAGTGGTGGTTCAGTGGTAGAATTCTTGCCTTCCATACGGGAAACCCGGGTTCGGTTCCGGGCCAATGCACCTCATGCACAGCCACCACCTGTCTGCCCAGGGAGGCTTGCACGTTGCTTTGATGCTGAACAAGTTTCAGCAGAGCTTCTAGACTGAAATGGACTAGGAAGAAAGGCCTGGTGACCCACTTCCAAAAATCAGCCAGTGAAAACCCTATGGATCACAACAGTCTGAGCCACAACCGATTATCAGGATGGCGCAGGACCAGGCATGGTTTGGTTTTGTTGTTGATGGGGTAACCATAAGTTGAGTAGGGGGCCGACTCCATAGCAGCTGAAGACAAAGATGTTATCAGTTCATGAGGTCATACTGGAGAAGGGTGGGTCCTAAGCCAATGTGAGTGGCATTCCAAACGCACTGCAGTGATCACAGCTCAAAAGAATACAATGACAAGAAGTGAGGTAAAGGTCAGGCTAGGAGCCTTCCCTATTGGTGTCATCTATAAATTTTCTCGTAAGAAAATGATGTAATGGAAGGTCCAAGCACGAGATAAGACATTTGGCATGATTCTCCTTCAAGATCCATATCATCCAATGTTTATGAAAAAAAAATTCACAAATGATACTCTCAGTAGAGAACAGAAATTATTGTTTAAAGATAATGGGTAGGTGGGCGGGAAAGGGGAAGGACAAAGAACCTTAACCCCGAGGATACAAGTACTCTGCAACAGCAAAACTGCTTGTATTTACTCCAATGGAAGAAGTCAAATGGGTACTGAAGGGTAAAACCATCTAGAAAAGAAAGGAGTAAAGCCTGTGAAGAGAAAACAAAGTTTCTGAAAATTGTGTGTAAAATTAAATGATATGCAGTTTTAAAGAAGTCTTTGAATTTGGTGGTGGTTGTGTGCCCTTGAGTCAATTCCAACTCATAACGTCCCATAGGAGAGAGTAGAACTGCCCCATAGGGCTTCCAAGGCTGTAATCTTTACAGAAGGAGACTGCCACATCTTTCTCCCACGGAGCAGCTTTTGGGTTCAAACTGCCAACTTTTTGGTTAGCAGTTGAGATCTTTAACCACTGTGCCACCAGGGCTCTTTCTGACTTGATTAAGTACCCAAATAAGTTGCTGTTGTTAGCTGCCATCAAATCAGCTCTTTACAGCGACCCCATACACAACAGAACAAAACCCTGCCCAGTCCTGCACCATCCCCATGGTTGGTTGTAGAGCGGACTGTTGTGATCCAGAGGGTTTTCACTGGCTGATTTTCAGAAGTACCTCACCTGACAAGATGGGTCCCGATAAGGGCTTTCTCCAAATAATATTTCAAATTACCCCTTTATTTGGAGCTCTAGGGGTGAGGAGTTCACTTTTTTAAAACTGGAGGTGCCGAAGGAGACCCACGTGGCATTAGGAAGGAGTGCATGTGGAAGTTGAAGACCTAGAGATGCATTAAAAGCATCCATTTCCATGTAGCACTCGGAATCTTCACGTACCTCTGTGCACGTGTCCTCCAGTTTGAACACTACTACTTGCACCCTGAATCATTATCAGTTTTCATTCTTTTTTTAAATATATATAATTTTTGTTGTTGTTGAGAATATACATCAGTTTTCATTCTTTCCCTCCCTTCTCCAGTTATTGATTGGCCTGATATTTCCTCCCTTCCTGTGGGTGAAAGTCAGTAATCTTCAAACTCACACAAGCATGCAAAGTTGTTCATTCAATGCCTGACACCTACTATGCGCCAAGTCCTGTGCTAAAGGACAAGCCCTACCCTCAGTGATCTTGCAGTCTAATGGCGGAGGCCGACTCAGCACATCATCACTGGCTTAAAGCAGGAGTAAGAATCAGCAGCTCTGGAAGTAGAGACTAATCCCATGAAGGCTGGGCTAGGTTAGGGAAGTCCTCACAAAGGAAGAGGAATCTGAACTAGACCTGGAAGGATGTCACCACTGGAGAAGGGCCAAGAACTGTCTAGCACCTCAAACAACTGGAGGAAAGGATGACGTTTTGTAAATACTGCTGAGAAAGGGTAAGTATGAGGTACATGTGGGAATAGTGACCAGAGAAAAGGCTGGAAGAGTAGGCTAGTTCCCTACTGGCACCCATTTACCTGGTACATTGATTTCCTTGCATTTATTTGCATATTTCGTTAGCAACAGAAACAAAGCAGAGAGCAGAGTCCTGAGGCACAGACTGTGTTTTAACTGAGTAGACAAGTGCTTCTCAACCCCAATTGTACATTGGACTTAATCTAGAGGACTAATTTAGAAACTGAGGTCCTCCCACCCACACTTACCAAATATTCTGAGTGGTCTGGGGTAGGGTCCAGGCATCAGTAATGAAAATAATCATCCTTGGTGAGTCTAACACGCACCTGGAGTTGAGAACAGAGGCGGCCCAGGTTGGGGCGACCAGGTTAGGGGAAGGAAACATTCAGTTCTACACTGAGACGCTGTTTGGATTTTAGGGCAGCATGAAGGTTTTGGAGATCTTGGGTGGTGCAAATGGTTGATGCGTTCTGCTGCTAACCAGCAGGAGGTTTGAGCCCGCCCAGAGGTGCTTCAGAAGAACGGCTTGGCAATCCACTTCCAAAAAATCAGCCACTGAAAACCCTATGGTGGTCAGGTTTCAGTGATGCTTCTAGACTAAGACGCACTAGGAAGAAAGACCTGGTTCTACTCTGACATATATGGGGTCACCATGAGCTGGAGTCAACTTGACCAAAACTTTATTTTGGTTTTTTTTTTTTTTTTTTTTT